TCTTTAAGCACTAAATTTGAAAGGAGAAACGGGTTTCAACTTTCAATCTTCTTCACATGGTATTGTGTCTTGTGCTTGGCTACATGGTGCATGTCGTGCTTCTCATTTTTATCTTTTGATTTTTAATAAAAAAAATGTTAAAAGAAACAAATAGGTTTTTCAACAAGTTTGGTCCAAATTTGTTCGAACTTATTCTGGCAGTTTGAATAAATCTAAAGTTCAGGTTTATTCAAGTTTATTTAAGTTAGTCTATCAAACTTAGAGTAAATTATTGGCTACAAAAAAATTACAAAAAAGCAATCAGTTAACTTTGCCTGTGTTTTGCAGCGAGGGAAGAGGAAATGGAATAGATTGAACACTTTGGTTATAAATCATGAGAAAGGCCTTAAAGTCATCCATTTCCCATCCCTTAGCTTTAGTTAAACAAGTTTGTAAACTAAGCTTATGTTTTGTGGCCCAAAAACTAAGCTTCTGTTCTAGGAGCGAGCCCATTGTTCATGACGATGGGCTTTAGCACGCAGGCCATTCTACTTGAGCGATGCAGCATAAACCCAGAAGAAGCCCACTCAACAAGTGACAAAAGAAAACAGAGGCCGGGCGGGATGGGATTGTGGGAATGATAATATGATCATATCTTAACTGTCTTATACAATATATATATATATATATATATATATCTTAACTGTCACATCACATGCCTACGCAATTGTGTTCGTATGAGTGTATTTAACTGCCTCTTTTTATACCTGTGAAATATAGTAATTGTTGGGTTGTTATCAGACAGCGGAAGGCAAGGACTGGCAACTTGTTTTTTTTTTCCTGTTTTTTTTTTTTTAGGACCAGCAGGCAAGGGTTAACAACTCATACACATAATTTATATGGTGAGTGTGCTGGTTATTAAGTAGTAAACACAACATAACAGAGCAACTCTAGTATAAATATAGCCATTTTAATTCAGTTGACTTTCTGAGACTAGTCAGCCCACGGGAAGGAGACCGATGATTTCTACAACAATTTTGTCCATGAAACATAATTTTTATTCTATAAATTATAAAATCATCCGAAAATGTATTGCAGTGTGTATGTATATACAAGACGCCCATCTGTAATACAACTTTGCGACAACTATTGTCATTTTTTTTTTGTGGGGAAATTTGCCTTTAAGCACCGGTAAAAATATTGTTCATGAAAAATGAATTGTTATTAAAATAAAAATATATCCTTTTTTAATGATGATTTGTTATTAATCATTGTCTGCTAATAATTTTTTCACAATTTCTTAGATACAATTTTCCCGTGTTTTTTCCTCATATCCATATCCATATATGCTTGTCCAAGGATATATTATTACTGACCGTATACGATGTCGTTACGACGATGTTTTACTTGTTTTCCTTGCGTGCAACTGTGTTGTTCGGCCCAATGCAAGGACTACAATTCCTACGTTTCTCTTCACGCAAAGAACAATCTTAAGGATGTTTGAGTACATATAACAATCATATAATGAAAAACAACATAATAACAAAATAGGAACCAATCTAAAACAAGTAAACAACTGCACCAAGACAAAAGTAAATAAAATAATGAATAAAACTCTTCTTTCCTCGACTAACCAAACAAAAAATAAAGATGGCGACGGCGTTTTAAATTTAATCTAATTTGTACTTTACAGCCAAAAAAACAGGCAAATATCCACTTGTCCTCTATTAGACTGACTCTTTCTTCCAAACATCGTGGGAGTCCATATTTTAAGACAGCTAGCTTGGCCGTGATACGGAAATGGAACTATTTCTAGAGCAACTTGTGTATTAAACAATAGGGCGAAGGCGAACAAATTGATTAACGCCTAACACTTTTTTTCCCCTTCTCGCCAATGAACGCTTATTGTTATATAACTAATAATTAATGATGCGACGCATCAGCCTCAGCCACGGTTTTTTTTTTTTTGGTGACAATAGAGATGCCTCTTTGTCTTTTTGGGAATGGGGATATGTAGATGTCCATTTTGCTTTGAGGATTGTTTAATTATTAATCAACTTGAATCCGATGTTAATTTTTTTCTTAGATCTTCGCTAATTAAATTAAAATATACGCTCAATAACCCGTAGCCCCGCAGGTCCCCAAAAAAATATTGGCGGCTCAAAACAAGCCTTTTTTTTTTTTTTGAATTGATAACAAGAAAACATAATAGAAGTAAATGTAAATGGGAGCCTCCTCCTGATAATTCGATCAAAATCAATGTTGATGGTGCTGTAATACAAGGCTTTGAGGATGCAGCCTGTGGGGGAGTGCTGTGAGATAGAAATGGCATGTGGGTTGGGGGTTTCTACCAATGTTTGGGTATTTGCTCACCGACTCAAGCTGAAGAATTAATGGGCCATTTTAAAAGGCATCGAGACATCCTCGACCTTGGGTTTTAAATCAGTGATTCTTGAATCTGATTCCAAATCATCAATAGATATTCTTCATGATTTTGGAACTAGAGGAAAGTCCGCCAGTTTGGTTTGACAAAGTATTAGAAGTTTCCAGGAGAGGAATTGGAAGTTGAAGTTCCGCGTGCTGGCTTGCCAAGGAAGGCCTTAGTTCGAAATGCGATTTTCAATTTTTAGATTGTGCCCCAAAATATTTAGAGGCTTTGTTATGTTCAGATAGATTGGATGTCAATCCCCCCTAGTAATTACATGTAGTCTGGTTTTGGGACATGGTTCCCTCTTTCTATATCCCGAAAAAAAAAGGAAAATATTAGATCAATAAAAGTTCATGCAAAGAAGGAGAAAGTGGGAAACTAAAAAGATACACCACTTTCCTATTTTATGGCTAGGTAAAATCTCCGCTCGAGAAGTTTTAAAAGCACGAAGGAGTTGATGGATATCATTCAAAGGGATACTCTCAAGGAAAAATATAGTCTTGATTGCTTGGGATGCATAAAAACCAGAGATATCTTGAAAGCCAGGAGGCGCAACTTTCAAAACAAAGCCCATTTAATTCGTTTCATTTTGCATCTGGATAGCATTTACGAAAGCGGTTATATTGTCATGATTCAAACTGAAGACATGCACTTAAGTTGATATAATCAATAGCAATAGCGAGAGCAAGTGGATAAAACAAAACAATAGTGAAGGGCATATTTAACATAGAAAACGTATGGTTGGGAAGGAAGCAAAGGGAGCGAGACAAAGGAAGGGAGTATTGGGGGGTGCGTGTGAGTGGGAGATGGAAGGTGACCTTTCCGAGCATGAAATAGCAGCCTCCTCTGACCCAACGCGAAGCCTAAGGCCGTCCCTCGCTAAGTGTCCCCGTGGCCCCCTCTAAATTAGCCTCCATGTAGATTCATCCATCTATTTTCATCATTCAATCAATTGATTCCTCTTCGCACTACGTCCAAATTGTAATTACCCCACAATCACGGTTGCCATGAAACTTTACGTTACTCCCTCCATTTTAAATTATAAAATATTTTTAAAAAATTTTTTTATTTTAAAATATAAGACATTTAAATAAATTAAAATTTTATTAAATGAATCAATTTAAATTTTACCCTTTCTTTCTCCACAATTAACTCATATCCTTTCTTTTTTTAATATATTAAATAATAAATATTTTTAAAATGTTATATTTTTTAAAAAAGATAAAATTATTAAATATATTTAATAAAATTTATTGGTACGTGAGATTTTACCTAAAAGTATTTTATAATTTAAAATAGAAGGAGTATTATTTATCTATCTTATTAAATTATTTAAGAGGTCTTATGCTTATTAAAAAAATTAATAACTAATTGTATAATATATATATATATATATAATTAACACCAATGCTTAACAAGAAAAATAATAATGAGTTACAGAGGGTATAAGTGAACCTTTTTTTTTTTTTTGGGACACAATGCAGTGGCTTCAATAGCCTAGCGTCACACACCGCCTTCCCCGCCACCCAAAACTCGAACATTTTAAAAACGGTGCATGTTTCTTGTCCATCCCTAGGGGTTTGTACGTCCATGTGATTGCTTCAGATCTGCATATACGTATCTGCCCTCCAGGATTTTCAAATCTACGTACACAAGTTATTAGTCACCTTTGTATATGCTGGATATGTGACACGGATATTAATTCCAATACACGTACTTGAAGGTTTACCATATGGCCACAAAAAAACTGTGTGGCCACGTTTAATTATTTATATAATTTCCTTATATGTACAGTCCACGTATCCTCAATTCATTAAGCATCGAATGTTCTAACTATTATAGCATTCCGAAATGTTCAAACCACCTATATAAATGCATGAACAAAATATGTGTTATGATGACTCATGGTTATAATACACTTATCTGGTTTTATTTATAAATCACTCTAACATATTTTATTAATATCAAGAAAAATATTAAAATTTATTAATTCTATCTTAAAATTTATTAGGTTTTCAATTTCACTCATATTAAATATGCATACTACAATAGCATTTTTTCTCTCTTCAATATTCAATGGAGAATAAAAAAAATTTATAATAAAAATTTAATGATATAACTTATAAATCAAATTAAATTTTTTTTATTTATCTTATATATAGAATTAGAGGGAATAATGTTTGTGGTCCTCTTTTCATTCAAGAGTCCAAGAAATATTATTGGGCTAAAAAAACTGCTACAGAACCGGATTCTTGCAACTATTCACGAGACATCTTTTCTCCCTCTCTCATCCTCTAGGATTTTATTTTATTAACAAACTTTCTAACATAATTACATCCTCTATTATAAGTCATTCTATCATATATAAGAGTACCAAATTAAATTACACGGCTAATATGCAAGAAGCATGAAAAAAAAAAAAAGTCAAAAACCGAAAGAAAAAGGCATGGACGATGGAGGATGGGAATCTATGACTACGAGTCCGGCTCCTGCCACATGTCCAAACGATATTTGAAAGTTCCGCAACACATGTGACGCTTTACTATTAATGTGCGAAAGGTATTAAACTACAGGAAATGAAGTGGTCAATAAATAGAACCCCCCAAGCCAAAACTAATTGGCACTTCCATTTATATAAACACGTGAATGAAATATACATATCTACCTACTAGGGGACATCAAAACCCGCAATGGAGGTTGTCTTTCTAAACCCCAAAAGCCCAGAACTTTTGCCCAAACCGACTTTTTATATATCTGCTTTCCCATGGAAAAATTAAAAAATCTGGAACATGAATAATAACATTATTCGACACGATTATACACATTTACACAATACACCGTACTCCTCCGACTACGGGTCTCCCTAAAACACAAGCAAATTGTTGTTGATGTCATACCCCATGTTCTCCAAATTGGGCTGCACCGCGAACTGAATCATGGGTGGTGGCCCGCAAGCCAATGCCATCGTGTCGTCCGATGCCTCCCGGGCATGCTCCCTCAGGATATCCTCCGTGATGAAACCCACACTGTATTCCCACCCTTCCCGCTTGCTTTCCTGCACCACGTACCACACCTTGAACCGCTCATCCTTCTTAGCCCACTCATCCAGCTCTTCTCTCAGCAAAATATCGTCCTCGGTCCGGTTCGCATACACAACGTGCATCTCGGTCCGGTCCTCTGGGTCTTGCAGAATGGCTTGAGCCACTTGATAAATGGGCGTGATCCCGGTCCCACCGGCCATCAAGGTCAGCCTCTTCGCAAACTTGGGCTTCCCGTGAACCAAAAAATTACCCCTTCCAATATACTCTATGTGGCCTAGTGGACCCTTCACTTCCACGACGGAGCCAATAGGAAGCGAGTCCAAGTGCTGAGACATGAGCCCACCGTTGGGGAACTTGGGGTGTACCCCTTTGAAGTAAATCTTGACAACCAGCTCAAAATACCCGACTTCATTGACGCTAGTGGTTGGAGTGTAAGCTCGCATGCATAACTTGTCCTCAATGGTAGCACATACGAATATGTGCTTTCCGACCGGCAGACCCATGATTTGGTCCTCCGAGGGCAGCGCAAAACGGAAAAGTCTCACGTCGTGTGAGATGGACGTTTTGGACACGAGCTTGCATGGGATTTTCTCACGTGGATTGAGGGCCACGCTGCGCAATGGTGGGGCTTCTGTGATTGTCGCTAAGTGGCTGGTGTCGGCATTACCGTGCATGGATGTATTGGGAGACGAGTCAGGGGAGCTGTAGCCGGTAGTCATGAGCTCGCCAATTCGGTAGTCCTCGAGCATTTTCTTGGCTTTGTCGGAATGGATGGCCTCGAACTCTTCGGTGCAGTCAGTGCCGGCGTTGATGAGGATGCTATCTGTGCCACCGGGGTGATCTTTGAGGAAGCGGGTGCAGTCGTAGACATGGCCGTGAACGATGATCCAAGCAGAGTCAGGGGAGGTGTGCCTTTTGACTTCGGAGAGGGAGTACATGTTTGAGGAAGTGTTCATGAAGGGTGTCGAGACACTCTTCTTGAGGCTCGGGGCTGACTCCGATGTCTGCTCAAGGTGCCTTTCTTTCGTCATCCACCCACCTGGTTGGTTCCCTGGTAACGTCGGGTGCTCAAACACAATCCCAATCTCCCCTTTATGGGGTCTGCACACATTAGTTTTCAATTTGAACCAGCAGTTGTTCATCATGCCCTGCACCGCCAAGATAAAAAAAGCGCTTAGATTTTAATTAAAAAAAATACACGACAACGGGGTAACAACTAATTAAATTATTTATTTACCAAGATATTCTTATCACTCTGAACATTGACCACAGTACTAATGTAGATTCACAACCATTGATATTATTAATATATATTCAATCAATCAAAGCGCACAATTTTAACTTTTTTAATGCCACTCATTTGTGAATAATCATAGTATCATACGCTTGAAAGTGATAGGTTATATTACAGTGAAAGTGTTGAAATTAAAAATGATTCCCCCACCCCCCCTTTTTTTAATCCATAGTAATTTAGAAATAAAAATCCCTCAAAAAGAATCCGAAATCCTAGGCGAGGCAGTTATGAAATCCAGTACTGGGGGCCCTGATGTTGAATCTACCAGAGGCTTCAAATAAATGGGAGATAAATCCGTGGGGCACGTGATCATTTGACAGTTTTTCCATTAAACAAGGAGATAAGCACGTACCATGACATTCCAAACGAGCTTCTCGGGTTGGGTGTTGAGGGCCTCGTCCCATGCTCGCACAGCGATTTCCTTGGCTCCGAGCAGGTCCAACACCTCAACCTCCAGCAACCAGAAACACCAGCACCAGTATTTACCGTACCTGTTCGGCTTCTCCGGGTGTTCCAACGTGGCCACTAACCACGTTTCCCCGCCGTTCAATGTCACCTCCACACGTGTCACTTTTCTCCCGCCCCCTGCTCAGTACCGCATGGATATATATATATATATATATATATATCTTGAGAATTAGAATTACATCACCTGTCTCTCTCTCATGCCCCCTCAGCTAACCCAAAATCCAAACCCCGGTTCTTCATCCATCAATACTATATAAATAAATAAATAAAAATATATACTAACCGGAATATGAATAGCCCCTCATCACATAGGGCCTCTGAGTAGTCCATGAGTTTATGGGCAATATCTCCTCGTGACAAGGCGTGGTTATCACAGAGTTTATGTTGAGCTCGTTGATTATATATTCAGGCTTGTACCACCAAGCTGCACTCATTCAAATAATATGGTGAAGAACTTGGCATTAGCAAATGATTCATTTGGACAAACATGGGAAGCCCCAGACTCCAGGAAAACAAATTGACCAGACGAACAATTATTAGTGTATTACCTTCAGCATTGGCAAGCTCGGCATCCACGTGGGAGGGAAGTACTCTGTTGTCCTTGTAATGGTAATAGTTGTCCGACTCTTGGGGAGTGACAATGATACGCTTGAGCCACTTGACCATGCGGCCCCCGATGAAGCCCGGTATGATAATCCTCACCGGGAACCCGTGATCCGGAGCCAACCGCTCTCCGTTTTGCATATAAGCGATGATGATGTCGCGGGCAGGGTCCATGGCAATCTCTCTTTTGATGCTTGTCCCGTACTTGGACCCACCGCCTCCGGGAAGGTCCTCAGCTCCTTCGAAGCACACGTGTAATGCCCCTTTGGTCCGGCTATAGATCCCGCACCGCTTGAGCAAGTACCTTAACGGCACCCCTCTCCAGACGGAAGTGGAAACCGCAGCCGCACCCCAGTTGAAACCGATGCTCTGTTTCACCATGTTTTGTTCTTTCCTTCTGTTGCCGGCACACACCAGCGTCACTGGCAGCTCCCGGCCGGGGAACTCGTTGACCAGTTGTTCCATGGTAAATTTGGAGGGGCGTTTCACTAGGCCGCACACCTCGACCGTCCAGTCATCCCACCGGGCATGAGGGACGGCGCCGTGGTTGCGGACATAGTGGAGCGGGACAGGGGTGATGAAGCCGTGATGCATGAGGCGGGTGAGAGACGGCTCCGAGTTGAATGGGTGTTTCCCGGTGAGGCGGACCAGGGAAGCGTTGCGTTCGATCCAGCAGTCGGCGGTTCCGTCATCGCGGGGATCGAAGATGGAGGCCTCCACTTCGGAGCTAGCCTTTCGTATCAGGTCCTTCAACTCGTCGGAGTCGTTTTCATCTTCGCTGGAGAAGTCCAAGTCCATCTGCAAAGGTTCGGATCTCTTGGGATTTGCAGGGAAGTTAAAATGAGGGGAAATGTTGAATGAACGAGCGACGCCGTTTAATGGGCCAGCGTATTGACGGTTGTCGATGGAAGCCGCCATGAAAAATATGGAAGGAGAAAGGAAAAGGTGATGGTGTATGGCGTTAGAGAGGTTTACTGTGCCCACATGAGAGAGGAAGGTGAGGATAGATGACTGCAGGGAGAAAATGGAGCGATGGAGAAAAAGAAATCGTAGTATATATTTATAGGGGTGTCCTGAGCGAGGAAAGAGAGAAGAGACGTAACCGAGCTGAGGACTCCAAACGGGCGAAGAGCCTCTAAAAAACGAAGGATCCGACCCCACAAAACGATCCGGGGATTCTATTATTTAGTGAGGGACATCTTTTTCATTTTCCCTTTTCCGGAGTTAAGAGACTCAGGCTGCGGGGAAAAAATACAGGAATAGTTGGCCGATGGAAAGTGACAGTGAGGGGTTGGAGAGCAAAGGGTTAAGCAGCCGTGGGTCACAAAAATGGATGTGTGGCTCAATTTCGCTTCCGGCCTCTTCCAATTGACTCCCACTTCTAGTTCTGTCAGTGTGTGCAATTATGGAGAATAAAAGTTGGTGGTATAATATGAGATAAAATATAATTAAAATTTAATTTAAAATATTAAAAATATCAATTACAATTATAAATATTTAAATAAAAATATTTATCTATTAGAATTATGATTTATAATTTATTTATTTTATTTTTATTTTAGATTTCACTATCTTTAATATTAGATTTAAATTTATAATTTAAATTTAAATTTAAATTATTAATATTTTATTTTTTAGGGCTCTATAAATAGAATTAATAATTTTTATTTGTATTTAGTTTTTAGTATTGAATAATAAGAGTTTATATTTTTCCTACCTTGTCCTCTCCTTTCTCTTATCTCCCTTCCCCTCTTCACATGCGTGCATAATTCTGAGTAATTTTTTTATTTTTTATTGATCTAAATTTTTGTATTCTAGACAAAAAAAGATAGAAGAAAAGAAAATAAGAAAGGGGGGAGAGAGAGAGAGAACTTGTCATGAGACTTAGCTGCCAATATGAGAGCTATAAAAGATACACTCATTTCGACCATCAGTATGAATATGTCAATCCAAACCATCGTATGCTCAACAATAAGAGGATTATGCTCAGCGGTATACATGTGATAAGTATCAACAATAGTATATCCATTCTTTACAAGATACTTATTGGCAAGAGTTATAAACATAGTTATAAAGAGCAACAATATGAGTACACAAGCTATTAGCTACATGAGCGGACTGATTGCAACAATTATGAGCATTGTTATCTCCTATTTGAGTATGCTAATCATAAATAATATAAGTATAAAGATCAATATTGTTATGATTACATTGAGTAACGACAATGCGAGCATCTTAATAGTCATCGGCATGATTAGGTTGATCAACACAAGGATAGTACCAATTGCCATTACGAGTATGTTGGCTTTCAAGAGGAAATAGACCAAGTTACAACTAAAGTGGATTGAATTCAACAAGAACAGAATTGTTATTATGATAAGTTTATGAGAGATTGCAGTAAAGTTAAAGACAGCCTATAAGGTTAAGAGAAAAGTTGATGGATTGAGCAAACAAATGGAAGAACAAGTATCAAGCGAGTCAACAATGGTAGAAATTCCTTCCTTGCAGGTAGAAGGTGAGGTTGAAAATTAAAGTAAAGCTTCATCAATTTTGATGGAAATTCCTATGTTGAGAAGAGTAACTACTTTGATTATATAGCCTTCAATAGTACATATTCTCCAAATAGTGAACAAGTTGTCCACTATATACCAGTACAAGTGGCTCCTTCTCAAAATGTTCTCAGCAAAGATCAATCTCATCATGCTACAACTATTCCTCTTCTACAAGCTATAACTCCCAAGGTCACTCCATTGCTTAATGATCAAATATAGCTATACCTTTTCCGTTGGAAAAGTTTTCAAGAGAGATTCTGCATGATCAAATTGCTCACTCTTGCCAGAATGCCAAAGCTTGTTCTTTTTCTTCCAAACCTATTAGAAGGAATTCCTAGATACATACTTGCCCTTATCAAACTATTTGCTTTTGCCAGAACTTGCTTTTTTAGTATCTTACTTGCTAGAAAGGGTTTCTAAATTCAAGCACTCAATTGAAGTTTACCTCATTCTTCCCCTTCCTTCTCAGATTTATGCTTCAATTTTAACTTGTCAAGAGCCAAATTATTCAATCAAGGAAAAATGGTGCAATATGGGATAAGATATAATTAGGGTTTAATTTACAATGTTAGGGCTATCAATTAGGGATATTTAAATAAGGATATTATTTCATTAAAATTATGATTTATTGTTTATTTTATTCTTATCTTAGATTTCAGCATATTTAAGATTAGATTTAGATTTAAGATTTAAAATTTGAATTTAAAATATCATTATTTTATTATTTTATGGTTCTATGAATAGAGTTGGGAGTTTTTGTTTGCATCTAGTTTTAAATATTGAAAAATAAGAGTTTATATTTTTCTCAACTTCCTTCCTCTTCTCTCTGTTCTTTACTTTCCCTTCCCATTTTACATCAATTTGTCATATTATAATTACGAAAATAAACAATTTTGAATGCCTCATTGCTTGAATCAGGCGTGGCTATTTCGAGAACAAGAATTTAAATTGGTTGAACAAAAAAATTATTTGTACGTATGGCTACCAAACTGTTTTCGTGATTACTAGTTACTGCTATCTCCTGTATCGTTGAAAATTAAAAACATATTCTGAAAGCTCTCCAAACTTCAATTATTTGGATTGGATCGGAGGCATCGTCGTCAATGATGAATTATATTTTAATTTCGATGTAACTGGCGGCACCATAAGGATTAAGTTCACCCAAGACAGGAAGTACAGGCATCTATTCATTGTCTGGGGTAGACAATAATGCATCAAAGTCTCGCATCTAATAGTTAAAACCTCAATATATAACGCAAGCTTAAGGTTAATGTTACCAATACACTGCTCAGGATTCACCTCTAACATATATATTATTTGATGTGGGTTTTGACAATTAGCTAAGGGTTGGTGACTTACACCAACACCCCTCTAGGTCGGATCATAGGCTGGGATGCTGAGGGAAATGATTTGCTCGTGGAGAAGGGGGGACGATTGGCATGGGCTGAGTTAGCTTATGATACATAATGTTGACGTTTTCTTGGTTTATTAGGTTGTATGGTAGGTTTATTTTGTGAGTTTTTGTGTTTGGTTGCGTAACTGACGGGATTTTTTTTGAGTGATTTCTTTTGGGTTCGATTAAAGGTGGCTGTAATATGCTTTTTCATATTAATAATAAAGAAAATTCCCTTGTGATAATTACTTGCTAATGACTTTTATGACCAAAACAACATTATTTTCTAAGAAAATATATTTGGCCAAGTTTTTTATAACTTAAAGTCTAACAAAAATTAAATGAAACATGATAAGAGAAAAATATAAGAAATGAATATATACATAAACATAAATATAGCGTACAGCGTTTATTTCAGGCGAACAAATTGGTCAACTATGCTGTGTTGGTTCAACCCAAACCAAGTAACCTGGTTGAAGTGTAGTTATATGCACAGTTCATCAAATTGAAAAGTCATCGTTTGAACACCACAATGTGTTTTGATTTGTTTTTTTTTTTTAGAGTTACCAGTAAAATTTAAATCAGGAGGTAGTGTTTTTAGAATGCGACTTATAAGAAAGTCGGAGGAGTACTAACTTGATTTATAAATAAAATTAAATAAATTTTTTAGAACATAATTTATAAATGAGATTGGGGGATTGTATTGTTTGAGGTATGAAAAACAGTCAGTATTCACTCTTCGATCATAGGTATATTGTAGCTCTAAACAGGGCCAATCATACTGTTTCTCTAATTTTATGTCTCAATAATAAAGCCTCCGCCGTACGTATCCGCGCACAGCAAGAAGGATCGCGCTACATTCGAAGACCGTAAGAAAGAATAAACAGGAGAAAAAGCAAATATCTCAACACCAAATATATGTTCCTTTTGATACTTCACGTACCAAACGCTTGCGCGCGCGCACCAGAAAGTTTTATCATGTTTTAGATTAAGATTATATACAAGTGGATGTATTATGTTTTTTTTTTTAATAATCTGAAATTGAAATTGATGTTTTTTCTGCAAGGCTTGGAAGGCAGTGTGAGGTGGGAAATCATTAGATGAGGGAGACATCGTTTTCCGGAGGAGATTAAAATTCCGAGAGTATATTTATGCATTGCTTGACGGAAATAAAAAGCCTCTTATTAATAACTTTACAGGAATACCAGCTGCGGAATTCCGCGTGCAAGGCGGGATATTTGGATGGAGTGTTTGTGATAATATAATGGAGAAAATGAAGAAGTGGAAGGGTTCGCGGAAGGTGAATAAAAGATAAGTGCTTGGACATTAGGAATCGATGGTTAGATTCGGAATTTAATATAAAAGGGGAGTCAAACGGCCGGGTAAGAAGGGAAAATAAAACGAGGAGGGGTTAGAAACGAAGTGGCCGTGGCGAATGGTTTTGATGGGAACACAAAAATGGAATAGAAAAGAAGGGGCGAGAGAGAGAGAGAGAGAGAGAGAGAGAGAGAGAGAGAGTCAAATAGTAAAAGATTCCTTGGAGTGTTTGGAGGGCGAGGCCACTCTGTGAAGTGGCGCATGGCTCTCCCCAATGGCCAACCTTTTCTCAAAACATGGGCTCTTCCGCCAATGCCTTTCCCTCTCCCTAAATGGTAAATGGTAGCCCGCCAATTGATTCTCCTGACCAACCTTTGTTTTATTCCCACCTCCAATTCACGACTACTGCCATCCCACAAATTATTTCTCCTGTCTTTGAATTTATAAATCACAAAAGAAATCCAAACATAGGAAATTCATCAAATTATAAAATTTACAACGAAATCTCGTGTGCTTTACTAGGGTTGTTAATTAATTAGCCTTGCATGGTAACTATTAATTATTGCATTTTAGTTGATAATTTCAATAAATGACATGAGATTCTAGAATATATAATTCTATGATTTCATCGTGGGACTTTTGATATTTAAATTATTTTTATAGGACCTGAGTGTGATTTTTGTTTAAATTTACTATTATTGTTGCATAATATGAAAAATAGATTTAATTTTCTTGCCAGAAAAAAAATGAATTTGGAGATGGCGTGAT